GATATATATATACATACATACATACATACATATACATGCGCGCGCACACACACACACATATTCATATATAGAGATACAAATAGATATTGAAAAATTAAGAAAATATTAATATAACATTTAAGTGTATTGGGTGTAGATAATATCGAATAATCAACAAATATTTTTATATTGAAATACTAAATATTTTATCCTTTCATCCATAGCTTTATGTTCGAATCACTAGTTAATAGCTCAACGTCGATCTTCATTTAAATCCCCCAAAATAGAATTAATGAAACAAATATCCTTAAACTTTTATAATTAATTAAAAAAAAATGAATCCAATTAAATTTACATTTTAATTATATCTTAGAACCGAAATCTTTATTATAAATTTGAGTTCAAACGGCTAGTCTAGGAGGTAGATGAGGCCGCGTTTTCAAAATAATCAAAAGCGAGCCAGCTAGATAAGTCAAGCTGGCATCCAAAATCAGGACAAAGACCCATTCGATTCACGCAAAACATCCAAAAACATAAGTTTAAACATCAAATAAACTAAACCAAAAATTATTCAAACACAATCCCAAGCGACTTTTCGCCGGCCGATCTGACTATCGCGCTTACACACAACGCAAAACTAATCCAACGCAAAATCAAACTCCCAAACTTAATTAGTTGACCCCCAATCCACCATCAAGCAATCATGAATTCACCTTCCGACAATTCAAGCGAATCTCCCCGCTGCTTCCAGTCAAAGGACTAATATTTCCCATCCTCACCATAGCCGCAGCAAAATCACTGAAGAAGAGATTCCTATTTACGCTGTATTGTCTCACCAAAGCATCCTGTGTTCCATTACTGAAAAGCTCCTGATCCGAATGCAGCAGCCCGCGCAATCCGACTAAGTTCTGGTAATAATCCGGCCCGAATTGGGTTGGGGTTTGCGAGTCGAGCGGGGCTAGGTTGGTATCCCCGCCGGATGACGGGCAGGTGGATTGTCTAAGAGTGGCGAAGTTGGGGTTGATGTTGAGGTCGTTGTAGATACGAGAGCGAAAGAATTGGCATTGGGCTTGGCCGATGGTGTGGGCGCCGGAGAGGGCGGTCATGTCGCGGGGGCTGAGACCCTTGGAGGAGAATTTGGAGATGAGAGTGGCGAGGGAGGATGATGGGCCGGGGAGATCGTTGTTGGCTGAACTCTGGCTGGCTGTTGTTGCATCCCTTCGGCCGAGGCTGACGGACCATGAAGGCCCTCCCAGCTGCATGCATGTCCATGATTGTAGAGTTCATTTGAGTTGTAAGCTTTCTCATTAATCGAAATTAGGGAAAATATATATTAAGGTTGGGTAAAAATGTTGCTAAATTTTTTCTTAAAGATGCTTAAAAATATTAATTTTGACAATTACAATGAATTAAAATTCACTGTATTCAAAATAACAACATTTTTTCGTAAAAAGGGCCGTGAAAATTCTTTTTTTTTTAGTAGTGTATTTACGGAAGAGGTGTATCCTGAGTATTTTAGTTGGGATTTTTGTGAAGAAGGTTTCACTGGTCATTATGATAAAAATTTTATATAGTCGATTTAATTTTAGACTTATATGTTTAAGAGAAAAATTTATGATTTAGGTTTTATATAATTGAAAGAGGAAAGGGTGACATCCGCTAGTTTTAAATAATTGTGCTGCATCATAGTTTTTTTTAGTTTGATAAAACTCTGTTTTGATTGCATTCTCAAAAAGTTACAGTTGACTATAATTTTCTACTAAATATGGCTACCTATGGTGGTGGCTGTTAGAAAGTTAAGTTCTGACTTTTTTTTAAAAATTTATAATAATCATCATAATTTTTTAAACAAAAGCTTCTTCTTCAACAGTTTCACGATTGATTCATCAACCAAACGGACCCTAATCAATGCTTTAGATTATCTATAAGTAGACGATTTATAAAATTTTTCAATGGTTATAAGCTCGTTAAAGTTTTCGAGAGACATAAAACGTTTTTTAGGAAAATATAAAACATAGAATGTTTGCAACAATATTTATGTTGTATGTAATGATATATTAATAAGTAAAACACATATTTAAGCACAGAATTTGTAAACTGAATTAAAAGTGAATTTTCTTCCAATTATGAATTTTTGTTCTAAGATGAGTACCAACGAAATTATTAGATTAATATGTTTAACAAAATATTGTAAACTTCTTGATAAACAATACGTATAACACCCACCGCTACCACTCCGTCACGTGACGCAAGAGCGAGAATGTCAGCACAGGAGACAGTTGCATTGCACGAGGCCTCAACATTTGACTTTATAGTGTCGATGACTTCAAACCCCCGCGCTGAGTTTTTGTTCGGGAACGCACCCTTCTCTCCCGTGAACGTTGCGGTGTCATCAAGGAGAATCGAACCATCACAGCCCTGATGCAAAATCAAGAAAATAGAAGTATAAATACACATTGATATAAGAGATTACATATTTTAGCAGCCATAAATTTTATTTAGATGGAAAATATGTAAAAGTTAAAGAAATGATAGCTGTAATTAACATGTACATTAACGAAACAGTCATGGAAGAAGAGACGAAGAATAGAAGCAGCCATGCGGGGTTCATTAGCTACAGCTCTTGTCATGGTTGAGCGAACAATGCCTTGCAAGTTGGGGCAAGTTCTAAAGTAGAATCCGGGAGAAAGCTGGGAATGAGCCGAGTAAAGCACTAGGGAAATAAGAGAAAGAATAAGAAGGCTTGAGGAGATGAAGGCCATGGCGTGCACTAGAAAATAAGGAAGAAGAAAGCTGCTGGCTTTGTGATGAGAGAATCTATTGCTCATTTGGGTACTATATATAGTGTGAAAGTATTGGTGGTTGTCTTCTTGCTTGCATACAATGATGATGCAACTTGTGACAGTGGGAAGACTATTATCGTTTTTTTTTAATAGAATAATAGCTATATTAGGTATCTCCTGCAAAATCTACGCAGTATTACCGCGTCCTTCTCTCTCTCCCGCTCTCTCTCTATGCATATATATATATATATA